TTATTTAAAAACCCCCAAGCAAACAAACAAAAAAACAAATCAAAACAAAAAGAATCCACCACCACCACACCACCCGGTGCAGCTGTGGCCCTGATTTTGCCATCCAGGTTATCAAATTAAATTGAATTGTATCTTGGGTGACACCTTAAAGAAAGAAAATCCTCATTCAGATTTCATTAAAGGAAAACCATACTATTTATAGAAAAAGTACTTTGTAGAGCCAACAGAAATACACAGCCTCAACATTAAAGCCTTTCCCAGAAATAAGGGAAAGCTAAATACTGAATAAAGGACTAATTTTCTGCATTTTGATGCTTATCATAAAACTGTTTTACTGCCACGGGTATTCTTGACAGTGTTTTAAATTACAGATCAACTCCGGCAAAACCAGGATCTATTAATAGCGGGTGGCCTCTCTTTGCTTTTCCAGAGTGAAAATTTTATTCTCCTTTACAAATACTGGTGATTTTGATCAAAGTCATCGTGGGACACCCGCCTCAAAGGGTGAAAGGACAGAAGCATTAAATCAATTCCCTAGGCAACCTCCCAAGCTGAGCCAGTATTGTTAAAATAATGAGTTGTGCACCACTCCATCCAAAACCACCAGCTGATCCCCATTTTTAGAGACAATAGGTAGCATAAAACCAGAAAGCATTTGCAACCAGTCAGATCATTTTTCATAAATCACTCATCTTCAACTTATAAAACATAACATTTTTTTCTGTAACAGCCTACTGGCATTTTCAAACCTAGAAAAAGCATCCTTCAAAGTTTTTTTTTAAGAAAAAGAAAAATAAAAGTAATGTTCTCAAACTTATACCAGGGAGCTAAAGGAGATTTAAAGATTTAAAGAAACAGTAAGATTTTTAACAGTGTGCATGGACTGCTGTCTCTCACCTCCCCCAAAATCTGCATTTGTTTTCCATATACCATGTTATCTTTTAACTCAGGTGTCTCGTTACAGGGTTGAATCTTGTCTATCTTTTAGCAATGCTACATGCAGGTATTCTTTCATATTTCAGAACAACAGACGCCCAAAGTTTTCTTTCACTTCCTCCAAGTTTTGTAACATACGGGCCAGAAGACCCAAGGACAAGGATATCAGGAGAGTCCTCTGAAAACAGGCAAACATTGTGCTTTATAACTCGGGAGTTAAAGCACACTTAAACAAAGAGCCTATGACTAGTTCATCAGATAAGGCTTATATCTTTCGCCCTGGAATTTAATAACACTTCTTCTAAAAACACTTTTCGGTCAGCTAGAGTTGAAGTTCCCAGAATTATACAGTTGCTTAATTACAACAAGACATGCACCAAGTATAATTCCCAGTTCACCGTACTTTTTTTTTTTTCTTCTCCTTGAAAAATTGTTTATGGAGTAGATTATCAGCCCTCAAACAATGTATTTTTAGGAATAAGTCAATCCAGCTGGACTCAACTCCCACCTATTTCAGCTGGGACCAAGCACGCTCCGCAAGCATTGCGCCCCACAACACTCTTTGGGTGATGCCCTCCACTCCTCCCCGCGGGGTCAGGATTTCACGTTAAGCCTCATTTAACACGGTCTGGCCTTAATTTAAGGCATGCCAAACGCCTGCAGTTTCCTCCGGTTTTTGCTCATCACCAAACCGGGTGCTGCAACCCCTCTAAAAGCAGAGCCTCCCGCGCCACGCGGCAAAAAGTAGGTTTTACCCCCCCCCCAACACACACAGAAGAAAAAAAAAAAGGGGGGGGGGGCAAAGAGCCCTAAAGACGACTGGAAGTTTACCCGGTGTGATTCATTATTTAACCAACAAAACAAATACGGCCAACGCAACGGCTGGAGCGGCCCCTTGGGACGGCGGCAGTACCGAGGAGGAGCCCCCCGGTACCGGCAGCGCTGCGGGGACCCCCGAGGGTGCCCCGGGCCGGGCCCGCCTCCGGGGGAAGGGAAGGTCGCCGGTTCTTTATAAAAAGCGAGCGTAACGAATATATAGTACCTCACCGATCCGAACGTCTCACCCGGGGAAAAAAAAAAAAAAAAAAAAAAAAAGTTACAACTTCTAAACCCTCAGCGTTCGGGGGCAAGCACCGCGCAAAGCCAGTATTAGCTCCCTAAAGGAAAGCGCGGCGGAGCTCTCCTGAGGGGCGGGTGGGCAGCCCCGGCCCCCCCACCCGCCCCTCAGGGGCCCAGCGCCAGGCCCGTCCCGCCCGCACTCACCGCGGGCCGCCGCGTTGAGCTCGGCTCGGTCCCGTCCCGTCCCGCACCGCCGCCCGCAACCTGCTCTCCCGTTCAAACGCACGGCGCTGCCGCCCGCCCCGCCCCGGCCCGCCCTCCGGCTCACACAGCGCCGGGGAAACCCGGAGAGACGCCGCGCCCGGAGCGGAGCCTTTTCCCGCCCCTTCGGCCGAGCGGCGGCGGCTGAGCCCGGCGATCCAGCCCCGGTGTTGCGGCGGGCCCCGCGCCCGCTCCTATTCAACCTGCTCCATTGTGTGCCCGGCTGGAAGCCGGCGGGGCGCCGCGCCGCCCCTCACGGCTGCCCGTCCCGCCTCGCGGCTGCCGCGGGGCGAGGGGCCCGGCGGAGGCTCCCCCCGGCCGGGCGGAGGGCGCGAGGCCGTCCCCTCAGGCTGCGCTTCGCCCCGCCGGCGCCATTGGGGACGGGCGGGATGGCGGCCACCGCCGCACCTGCCCTCACAGCCCGCCCTCACAGCCCTCAGCCCCCGCCGGCGGGCCGGGGTCCCCACAGCGGAGGGAAAACATCGGGTTTCACTCATCTTTTTTCATTTTTTTTTCCCCTTTAAAAATCCAAGATGAACTTCCAGGGCTGTTCACCTACGCTGGCTGGCGGCAGGGAGGCGATAACCAGCACTTCGGCAGCCCTTTTTTTCCCTGAAGTGTACGGGCAGCCACCGAAATCTCTGGGCTTCCTCCTGGCGTGAGGGAACACACCTCTGGTGCAGGAGGTTAAGCCTAAAACTCCGCTTCGCGAATGATTTTTTTTTTATCTATCTGGTGTCCCCATGGGTGACTGAGGTGTGTTTTATAGGGAACCAGCGGGTGTGAGCTCTGACAGACGCAGGGAAGAGCGGGGATATCGCAATGAACTCCAAAGAGGGCTGGTGATGTTTATGACAACCATTTGCCACACAAGCAATAAAAAGCCTGGGCAACACTGGAGATATTTTTCTTAGTGGGCCATCTGGAGACCTCTCCTCTCCCTCCTTACGATCTTTTTAAGATGCTGTGTTGCTCACGGCGTATTCGGAGTTGCAGGGGCAAAGGCGCAAGAGCTGCACAGTTTAATTCTTGTCCTTATTCCTAATCACACAAGAACTGCATCCTCTGGTTGGGAGTACTGTGACGTGCATTGCTGCTGCGGCTGATTGTGCTCCTCAGAGTCAGCACGGGGTGTTGCCATTTAATGGAGTAAAGTGCTGCTTCTCCCCCAACCTCGCGGCCGGTTCCTCAGCTCGGTTCTACAGAGCTATTTGTTTCTACTCCTGGTACCGCTTTTTCAATAGACAGGCCTCCCACGGAGACAAGATCTGCAACCTCTCAAACCTTGCACAGATGGAAAGCACAGCTTTGAACTGAGTTGTCTTTTTTTTTTTTTGGAGGGGGGCGGGCGTGCTGTTGGTTTGGTTTGTTGTTTTTTTTTTAAACAGATAAACCCTGGATGATAAGGAAAAGAGCGTTAACAAATAATTACAGGAGATGACTCTCATGAAATCATTTATCACTGCAATCCCAGATCCCATACCACTCAGTTACTCTCTGTGAGACCAGCGTTGTCCGTTACAGCACCAACCCCATACACGAAGCTGCTTCCTCGGGTTCATATTCTGGCCAAGAACCGTAGTAAGAGCTCATCACCAAAAGCTCTTGTCTTGTGCAACATGAAAAAGAGGTCAGGGGCCTGAATTCAAAGATTTCGATGTTCCTCTCCCTAGTTCCTTCTGAAATAATTTGTTAGATTACCTCACTGCCACCAGTACAGGGAAAGGAACTTTAAAAATTGAGTTCAGTCCCAAGGGAGCCTTCCTCTACGTAAGTGATAAAGCAGCTGTATTGCCACCCTTTAAGAATCCTTCACGAGCCACAAGCCAACAGAAAGGATACAGCAATTTGCTGTGATTTAGAAAAATCTCTAGAGCTTTTCTGAACTCCACCAAGGGTAAAAATGGCTAAGAGGCAAGGCTGTGAGGGAACAAACTTGACTCACATTCGCCCACACCTCACCTCTGCTCACTAGAAAAGTAGCATGCGGTTTCCTGAGACCTTTCACCTTTACGGTGGATTTTTGTGATAAATCCCCCTATGACTCATGTACAAAACAGAAGCTCAAAGTCCAGGTAAAATTATATCTAACTATTACAGGAAAAAAACTGTCATAACTGCACAATTATGCCAAGTTTGGAAAAGCTCTTTTGATTTACCAGATGTAGGAACAGGAATACTTATAATCCCCCATGAAAAGTGGATTATTGATGCGATTGAATTTGTAGTTTTGCATTAAAAGTCAACTTTATGTTTTGCTTATGTCCAAGTACTACAGCAGTGGTTGGCCCAGCCCTCCAGTGTACAATGCACAAAACCAGATGCCTCACTTATTTACTTTTTTTTTTGTTTGTTTAAACAGGCAGAGATACCTGTTTTCCAGCTCCTGTTGAGGTCTGCCTCTGCCCCCAGAGCTGCTTCCCGCCCCCAACATTGGTTTCCAACACTGAAATTCATGGCGAGCTGCTCACCGTGCTTTGCAAAAACCAGCCTCACCCCAAGAGGACGCAGTAGCAAAAGTAGTAGAGAAGCACTGACATCTATTCCTAGCTGAGGAAAAGCTGCTTTTTTTTTTTTTTTTTTAGGATCTCAGGATTCACAATTTTGCCCTGAAAAGTCAGCAGAGAAAATGATGACACTGCAACTAATTGTCAGACAAGCGATGCTCGGCTATTAAGATTTTTTTGTACCGCACTCTTCTCTCTCATATTTCATTGGCAAAGAATCAGACAGAAAGAAGGGAAATCTGTAAAACACTTCATTTTAAATAAATAGTGGGGCTCTGGGAGGTTGCACAAAGATCAAGTGCTTGGTATATGAAACATAACAATGAGCATAATCTTTATTCTATTTACAAAATAAATAATACTACACTCATATACTTAACATGCATATCAAAAATAAAACAAGACTTTAAGCTCCTCACACAGTACGATCCACCTTTTCACATTTCATGTTAAAGTTTTATTTTCATCTAATTTTAGATATTTATAGAACCATCAGAAAAAAAACAGCATAGGTCTTTTGTCTTCAAGTGAATGTTGTCTTCTAAAAATTTGGATTACTGACATACTAATTTATATTCTTTGATATACCAAGTGATTTTGCTTTTCCCCTGAGAAACTTTAGTTGTTATGACCTTATCAGCTTTTTTAAGATCAACTGTAACAAACTACCTCTTACATCGGTAACAACGAAACCCATTATTCAAGAAGAAAGATTTTTCAAACACAGATTATACACAGAAGTAGCATAAAACCAGAATTCAAACAAAATGCTGGTGTGTAAACATAGCACGAGTTTTGCAAAGGTCTGAAACGGAGTTTTCCATCCCCTGTGGGCTATGACACGGAAGAGAGAAGCATTTAAGGCCGTGCGCTGTAACTAACACTCTGCACCTCCTAAAAACCGGGCTCTCCACTGCTGGGTAGGGAATTAGCAGGTGGCAAACTGGACAACTAATTTGGGACTTCACTGTGGAAGAGGTCAGCTTCAGAATGTTTTCATTTGTGGCGTGCATATTACTACTAAAATTCCATCCCACACGGATTATAATACAGCGTTAGGAAACTCCATGGGGTTTCCGTTCAAGACAGGGACCCTCAAAATTATGGCAGTTTTTTACCATAAACTTCTACGTTACATGAAGCACGTAACGTAGGTAGCTGGTGTTCCTCCAAGCGAGTCTCCCTTTTTACCTTGAAACAGAGCTTCTTACCCAGCTCGCAAATTGTTTCAGTGTCTGTACAAATTTGTTGTTGTTTATACGATCTCTAATTCTCTCCGAGTAGCTTTCTTCTTTCCATATTCCTTTATTTTTCTTCAAGGCCTTTAACTCTGCTCGAAGGAGCCTTTTCTGAAGTTTCCAGTGCAGGCGGGAATCGTGACGCAGTCCTTCAATATGTGCTGTCCTGCCAAGCCCTTGCCTCAAGATCTCTTCATTTAAGCACACGCTAAGAAACTGACCCTATAAAAAGGCACGATAAATGTGATATTCACCTTTAAAACAGTTTTCTTTATTTTGTGTCAGCTCTCTCTGAGGTACAAGCTTTACTTGTGGCTAAACTAACTCCGTCAGAACGAGTTAAAAATTGAGATGAACCCAGCTGACTGCTAATACTAATGCAAGACATTTGTGAGAGGACATCCCATGGACTAAACTGGAGGCTAAGCCGGACTACACAAACAGCCTAGCACAGCCCGACAGAGAAATACACTCGTGTCACAAATCGGTCTGCAAAAACGCTGGTCTTGAAATCGGATTTATAAGTGCGACGTTTAAAATTTATACCAAGATCGAGAAATTATAAATGACATTCCTTCAACGTAGCGAGATGGCTGTGGTAATGCAATTCGGTTAAAGTCAAAACTGCAGATAAAAGTCAATTTTTGCCGCGATATTTACCTTATTTACTAAAACAAGGCACTCGAGTGCCGAGTCCTCCCTCCCGAGAAGTTGGAACCACACCATTTGCTTGGGTCTCAACTCCTGCCGTAACCAGGCCGTGCCGCTGGGAGCCAGCTCCACCCCGGCAAGCCTCACCAGCAGAAAACCTTCCGATTGCCCTGGTTGCAGACAGAGAGAACTTCCTTACTGACCGCGGCAGCCGAAGGAAATGGCATGCTGTGCACAGCCCCTCAGCTGCTGGTAATCAATTCACATCCCTGGTCTTTAAAAAAAAAAAAAAAAAAAAAAAATCCATTTTAGTTCCCCAAAGCACTACTTAGTAGAAATTAAGACTTTGGGGCCATCTCTCCTTCAGTAAAAAAAAATTAATTCAAGATTTCGTCAGTGGTTGAAGCTAGTTTGTTTTATTTTGCATACAAATAGAAAGAAGTGCTTGTTATCTGAAGGGGTGGAAACAATAGGCAAGAAGCACCAGGGTCTGCAGGTATTTGCAAAGCAAACCTGTGACTCTCAGACTTGATGGAAGTCACAGAAAAACTTCCCAGTGAGAATGGGTTTGTAAGGAGCATGGCTTTGCACCCCTAAAGCGCAATCCCAACAGGGCCTTTTTGCCTGGAAGGGGCTGAGCTGTGCACGCAAATAAGCGGCCTGTGCGCTACCTTTTGCTGCCAGAAAAATATCACGATAATGATTCTTAGGAGAGTATCACGATAACGAGGCTTTATTAGCACAAACACTGGATTGGCAAGCTCTCCCCACAGGTCTTCTCGCGGTCTTTTACTCCCCCGTTCCCCACCTGTAAAGCACAGAAAGCCCAAACGGCAGAGCCCGAGCTGTTCCTCAGCCCTTCCTCGCACGCCTGCCTGCTCTGCGCAGACACACCGAGAACAACATTCCGTTCCTACCCTTGTTCTTCACCTACTTTTACTTACATTTTCTCTGTATCGACGTGAGGAAAGGAACGCTAATGGGAATGTGTTCAACTTCCAGGCCTTCCTCGGTTATGCGATGCAACGTTCCCCTCAATTTCACATTCTTTTCTACAAACGCCACAGGTATATCCAAGGCGCTTGTAAACTTTGTTGTCTATTGATGGGAAGAAGAGCAAGACAGTTTTGGTTTGTTTTTTTTTTTTTTCTTTAATATAGAGCTGTGACAATCACATGAAATCCAACCTCTTAAACTAGTTTGGCAAATTACAGATCGATTTTGAGACTGCATGAGCAAGTATATATACTTAATAATAATCAGCTGCAGAAGCCCTTCCGTGCCAGCCCTTCCAGACCCTTCGGGATGTTCCCTGTTTGCCAGGACTTGCAGTATGAGGGGTGGGCATGAAAGCCGGGTTTAGAGAAAGAACAGAAACCGACGCTTTTTTGAGCAGTGCAGACGAAAATTCACTTGATTCAACATGAAAAGAGTGTTTTAGAAGTGGCCTGAATGGTGCCAGAGTAGGGGTGAGAGGAAGCCAAGGCCTGGTTAGATGCGAGCAAAGAACAGACACACTGGAAACAAAGGTGGAGCAGGGAGGACAGAAACAACACGGGCTTTGATAAGGGAGTAAAAGAGGAAGGGGACAAAAGCAGGTGTACACCCTGAACAGATCACAAGGAGATTAAATTCGATACCACAGCCCTGGATTCACGGAGGATTCAAAGGGACAGTTACACGATCTCCCAGGAAAACAAAGCTCGGCAGCAGCAAAGACTGAGCCACCTGGTTCAGGGGGTGGAGAGAGAAGGACAAGCACTGGGATTTGCGGAACTAACAGGGATTTAAAGCCACCCAGAATTGAAGCCACCGGGGTCATGAGGTGTGACTGGACGAAGCTTCTCGCAGGCCACTGACCTACAGAGCTGCAAAAAGTGTCCGTCTGCTGGAAATTAAAAAAGCAAACCACCCCTGGCCTTTCTCCTGTATGTTGTTTATTCAGTAAACACCTTCCCACTTGTGATCCATACGGTCTCCCGCCAGGAAAACAGAAATCCAGGACCTTGCAGGCAGAAGGCCTGAAGGTTTTTACAAACAGAAGTTTGTAAAACTTCTTGTTCCAGTCTGATCTCATATGCCCTGGAAGCTCCAACAACCTGGTTAATACAAGCCCTTGGATTAAAACAAAACCAAAACAAAACAGAACAAAAAAACACACAAAAAAAACCCCAAACCAGCAAAAGAGAAAAAAAAAAAAAATTCTGTTAACATTTGTAGTTCAGACTTTCTGGTAAAATTTTGAAGTAAAAACTGTACACAAATGTTCTCCCATAGCAAATTGCATTTGGAATCGGACAGAGGGAAGACCAGAGGAAGCTATTTTTTTAAACAGCTGGAAGAAAGGGGGAGAGGGTCGCTGCTGCCCGGCCCTTTGCCTGGAGCTGGTGGGGAAGCACTGGCACACGCCCTGGTCCCATCACTGCAGGAGGCGAGGGACGGTTTAAGCTTCTGGTTAAAAATAAGTCAAAAAGCAGCTCTGTTCATGGAACTGCGTAGAAAAGAGACGAGGAAACCACCTCCATTTCTGCGTATTTGGCCTGGAGGCGTGAGATGAGGACGGAGGGGGGGGGGGGGGGGGGGGGGGGGGCTGCGCAACGAGCTGGGGAGTTCGGGAAAAAAAACAAAATAAATGAAAAAATGGGTGGGGGGGTGGGGTGGGGTGAGGAAGGTGCTTCGGTTCTGGCCGCGGAACCGCTGTTTGGGAGGGGACACGCGGGAACCCGGCGCCGTGGGCCCGGACCCTTCAGCTCCCCCCGGCCCGGCAGGGAGCCCCGAGAAGCCCCCGGCCCCCCCCCGGCCCCGCACTCACCATCCGCACGCTGCGGGCCAGCACCAGCGCCCCGGCCACCGCCATCCCGGCGCTCAGGCTCTGCGGGGAGAGGAGAGCGGGGCTCAGCGGGGCTCCGCGGGGTTCCGCGGGGTTCCGCCGGGCTGCCCCCCGCCTCCCCCCCCCGTTACCCGCAGGAGGGTGAGATGCGAGTCCCCCCACTCGGAGAGACGGGCCAGGCCCTCGGCCGCCCCGCTCCGCCGCTCCGCCATGGCCGCCCGCCCCCAGGCACGGGGAGGGGCCGGGACAACTGGGGAGGGGCCGGGGACAAGGGCGGGACAACCGGGGAGGGGACACCCGGGCCGGGACAACCGCGGAGGGACAACTAGGAGGGGACGGGGACAAGGACGGGACAACCGAGAGGGGACGGGGACAAGGGCGGGACACGCGGGGAGGGGACACCCGGGCCAGGCCGACCGGGAGGAGACGGGACAAACGGGGAACCGGGGCGGGGACAACAGGGGAGGGACAACCAGGAGGGGATGGGGACAAGGACGGGACAACCGGGGAGGGGACACCCGGGCTGGGACAACCGGGGAGGGGACACCCGGGCCGGGACAACCGCGGAGGAACAACTAGGAGGGGACGGGGACAAGGACGGGACAACCGAGAGGGGACGGGGACAAGGACGGGACAACAGGGGAGGAGACACCCGGGCCAGGCCGACCGGGAGGAGACGGGACGAACGGGGAACCGGGGCGGGGACGGGGGACAACCGGGACGGGGCCGACAGGGGAGGGACAACCAGGAGGGGACACCCGGACCGGGACAACCGGGGAGCGGGACACCCAGGACGGGACAACCGCGGAGGGACAACTAGGAGGGGACGGGGACAAGGACGGGACACGCGGGGAGGGGACACCCGGGCCAGGCCGACCGGGGAGGGACGACCAGGAGGGGACACCCGGACCGGGACAAGCGGGGAGGGGGACACCCAGGACGGGACAACAGGGGAGGGACAACCAGGAGGGGACGGGGACAAGGACGGGAGACCCGGGGAGGGGACACCCGGACCGGGACAGGGGACACCCGGACCGGGACAAGGACCGGACACCCAGGGTGGAGAGGGGACACCCGGGAAGGGCCGGGACAACTGGGGAGCCGGGGCGGGGACCGGGACGGGACACCCGGGGAGCCAGGAAGGGGACAGGTACAAGGACGGGACAATCGGGGAGGGCACGAGACAAGCGGGACGCGGATTTTAGGGTCGGGCCCTGCAGGACGGAACCGAATTTCAAAGCAAAGCTCCGGCAGCCGTGGGCGGGCCGGCTCCGGGCAGGGCTCGGCCTGATCCAAAAAAAAATAAAAAAAAAAAAAAAAAAAAAACAAAAACAAACTTTGGAACATTCCGCTATTCAGCACTGTTGTTTATTCCTCTCCCTTAATTCAAAACTAACAAATATTCGTCATTCACCACCCAAGGGCTCAAGCCAGCCCTTTCCCCCAGCTGAATCAAATGCCCATCTGTGCAATGCACCCGTATGGTCTTCAAAGAAATACAGGCGTTGTAAGAACATAATCGGACAAGGACATAAAACTGGATTTACGTTTACACAAGTCTTCCATTTCAGCCCCGTTCTGGGTTTCTGTATTGAACAGGCCACATACGAGACGACACCGATAACAGCCACAACTCAGGATTTCAGGGAGAGAGCAGATTTAGTTGGGCATTTATAATCCAAGGCAGCAAACCCCACACTTGAATCAAAACTTTTTCTCTAAGGTTCAGACTAAAACAATTCTTAAATTACCAGCTATGTGGTAAATTGGGCAAGGAAATACTACTCCTGTTTTGTTGATTTTTTTTGTTCTGGTTTTTGTTTGGTTTTTTTTTTTCATAGAAGGCAGTAGTTGTTCACTTTATCTACTGGATGGGAAGATTTTAAGATTAAGTAACAAAAATAGAAATAGTGCAAAACCTTGCTTTCAGCAAAACCGTAACTTATCGCCAAACAATTTGGACGCACGCTGCCAACTTTGCTACAATTTGTACGTTGGCTAAAAAACTAAATATTGCCAAATGTTTGGGCAAAATGCTAAATATTGCTACATGCTGCTAAATGGTGGGACAACGCTAGCTTTGCCTCAGCAGGGGTGGGTTGAGAGTCGGGCAATATCGCTGTTTCGGAGCCTCAGCCGCTCCGCTCCCCGCCGCGGGGGGAGGCTCTGCCTTCCTCAGGGGAAGGACTCTTGACTTCCTCAGCGACACAACTCTCCTCTTCCCCTATTTTATCTGCTCAAAAATCATCTGAGCAGCCACCCTGCGAAACCCGGAAGACAACGGAACGAGAGGCTTTTATGGAAAGGGAAGAAGCGTTGACAGCCCCTCCGGCGGCCGTCCCGGGGGCCAAACGCCGGGCGGGTGGTGGAGGGATCCGCCGGCGGTGGGACGGGCAGGGCCCTGGCACAGCAGCAGCTGGGGCACCTCCCGCAGCTCAGCTTTGCCTCCAGCCCCTCTTTCTGGGCGCTGGGCTTGCCAAAGGGAATTTTGGAGCGCGGGTGTTTGCCTGCTGAAGGCAGCCTTGGGAAACAGCAACGAGGGGCTCCGAGGAGCCACGGGCACCGCGGGGCAGAGCCGGGCTCCACCTCTCCTCCCCAAGCCAGACCAGGACAAGCCCTTTGCCTACAAAAATCCAATTTCTGCCAGGCAGGACACGGAGCCCCGGTACCATCCACCATCTCCAGTTCCCAGTTCAGCAACAGACTCACCAGGAAGAGGTTGGGGTGCTTCTTTCTTCTTGTCTTTTTAAAAAGGTGGGTTTGTTTGTTCGCTTTTTTTTTTTTAATGTTAAAGATATCTACGCCTACAATAATTCTAATATTTCAACAAAATAAATTATTTCACTTTAAAATAGCATTGGGAGAGAAAAATTAGCAAGACCACAAGTTTACTGGTTCATTTCAGCAACCTGCTAAGCAGCTGGTATAGCAGCAACGTTTCTGACTTGCATTACAAAATAGCAACCTAGATTAAAAAACTAATCCATCAATTGTTTCTCTAGTTTAAAAGAGGAGACAGTTATTTAATCTGAGTCACACTCCATACCCATCACTACTGATTTGGAGTTTATGTTTAATTTTGATGTGGTTGAGATCATCTAATACAGTGATAAGCAATCTGCAACCCATCTTTATTAACACTGGCACCTTCAGAAATAGTGAAACAAAATTGCAAAGTAAAAAGCCAATTCTAAACCACCTAGTCATTTCATTTCCCGTATTCTGCACTTGAGAATTTTTTCCTGAAAGTCAGAAAAGTTAAAAAAAAACTTCTCTAGGTACAGACAAGATGCAGTTAAAGCGGCCCATTGCTCCAGTAAAGACCCAGAACCGAAGCGCCTCGTGCTTAGTTAATGCGGTGAGGGGCTGTAGGACTGGAAGATGAATCCACCTTCGACTACAAAGCAACGACTGTTTCTCTTTGTGCTTACACAGAGCTGCAACTGGAAGACTTCTAGTTTGGGGAGTAAAACCAAAGTGACTGTATTTAGCTCGCTGACTTTGAAACAAAATTGTGAGCCCGTGCTGCGGTCTTCCCACTGAGCGCCAAGGGGATGAGGGAGCAGGGAGAGGGGCAGGGACAGAGGGGGAGGCAGCACTCGAACACACCGGCCTCACCTGGACACCTTCTTACTCCTCGGGTTATGCAGACACCTTGTACACACCCGCACGGCACCTCTAGTCAGTCAAAAGCTGGTAGGGATTTACTTTTTTCCTGAAACATACAGTAACAAAAGATCCACAACCCCCTCCAGAGTTTGGACCGCCAAGCTCGGGATGCAATACTTCCAACACTGACAAGGCAAGAAACACGGAATGGAAAAGAAAATCATGTACCTTCCAAAGGTATTTTTAATAGTTTTCTTTTTTAATAATGATGTACTGTATACATCCAACGGTGTCCAAGTGCCCCCTCTCTAGGCGCACAGTACGCTTGCTGTACGTCACTAAGGCACTCGGGAGAGGAGTGGGTTTTGATAAATGCAACAGGAATGTTTCCACTACACAGCATCAGTAATAAATTTCCGTAGCAGCTCTACCACAGGATTTAGCTCATCTGATTTCTGTGACAGCAAGTCGTACACGGACTCACTGGGAACTTGGCAAGTTTGGTCATCACCAAATCACTTTCAAAGGCACTGATCATCTTTTCTTCCCCCTAGCTGGGAAAAGTCACGTTTTTCCCACTGATTTTGAAATTGAATGTTCAAATTTTAGTGCCGTAGAGGAGCCAACACTATCAGTTCAGGCCCTCAACCAACCACCGCTGCCGGAAGGCCGGCGTGCCCCTCTGCGGAAGCCTGCTGTGCGCTCGCTGCTGCGCCACCCACCTGCATCTTCAGGACTCAGGGCGTAGAGTACTGTGCGGTACTCAAGTCCTACCTCACAGCAATTTTTCATCAAGTTCCTTGAATGTAAATCAAAATGCTTTGAAACAGCAGAAATAAATTAAACAAAGGTAATTTGTTTATAAAAATATTTTCTTATAAATCTTTAAAGCTTATAAAAGCCAGAAAATACACTTAAAAGAATCTCTGAAACATTTCATCCTTGGAGGTGTGGTTACAGTTCAGAAAGTGAGAAGAAACAAAGCCCCCAGACATCTTAACGTTTCTCTTCCCACAAGGAATTCCCTAGTACAACACACTTAACCTACAAGTCCAAATGCCTTTGACATCCTTCCCTGGGTCAGGTCATTTCTCTTTGCACAGAGTTGGAACTCAGCGGGCAGCGCTGCCGTTCCGACAGACGGGCAGGGTTAGCTTTTCCACAGTTAGGAGATGGAAATGCAGACCAGGACTCGGAAGCTAGAGCTCGGGGATATGTATGTAGTACGTAGGTGGTATTTTTTAACAATTACTTTCTGAACTTACATTTCCCTATTGGGAGGGCAAGTGGTATCACATACAAACATACCACTGGCTCTGCCACCCATTTTTTCAGCGATATGGCATTTAAAAATACCTATTTTCCTGTTTATTGATTATGGGATATGTCTCTGTAATAAAACTAAAATGACCTTGCTAGTCCATCCAATATTTAAACTGCATCAATTGGTCCTCTTGCACTTCCACGAAGACTGTCCTTCGTCCTGCAGCTTTTTAAATTTTGGCCCAAGTAGGAACCACCAGCCAAATCCCAGAATGACGCAGACGACAGATTCCACGTAGTAACCGTCCAAGGCCGTCACACAGGAGCCACCAGCTTTTGTGCAAAGCTGAAACACAGAAGCAGAAGCTGATGCATTAAGCACTCTCTGGGAGATACAGAAACACAGACTTCTAGAAAGCAGGCATTAAATATCCACTGTTTTTTACTTGCTCGTGACTAAGTATACTTGCTTCCTCTCGCTTGTTTCTTATGGAATTAGTAGGAAAGGCTTTTGAGCTTACCATCAGTATGAAAAGTAACAAAACAGTTATAAACCATTTGGGAAATGGAACATATTGGCCCAAGGGTCTAACTCAAGAAAACAGAAACTGTCCAGCTGTCTCAAGCTGGCCTGGAAGTGCAACCACGGTTCTTCAAACCATGAAGACCGAGATTTTTTTTTTTTCCTAGCCATCCAAACTGCTTTTTTAGAAATTATACCCTTGCATCTCACCACACTGAATCTGCAAATGGACAGTACAAAATGCTGCACATTTCTGGGAAAAACATGCCCAGAATGTTTTTTAATTGTAGAACTAGAAGACACAACCTCCAGCATTTAAAGGGTAGGTGTACAGCACACGATCGTTTCTGCTATTGTTTTGCTTTCCATACTGCTGTAATCCCAGGATAAATCAATCCTCTGAGTTGAGGCTCTGCCAGCATTTTCATTATTCTGAGACGTGTCAAGGTCAGATTAGGAATAAGAAGGGAGTGGTGGTGGAACATTACCAACTGGGAGGATGTGAGAAAAGATCAGAGGAGTGAGGTTAAAGGAAGAAGGACTTGAGTTCAGTAAATGCCCAGGCACAGGGAACCTAATTAGTGGCAAGCCAAGGAGAGACAGGTTGAAAAAGTGCATGCTGCAGCAGTTTCCCCTCTGCAACTAGTAAAAACTGCAACTCCACTTCAAACAAGTCACGTCTGAGTCCTAGAACACTTTGTTTATTTAGAGAACCTCCACATCCCAAAGAGTCCTGGCAATCAAGAGTGAAATAAATCGCAGTCGTGAGTAAGGAAAAAAGAAAAACCCAACAAAACCCCCCAAACATTTCCACTCTTTCAAACAGTTGCATTAAATTTTCTCGTTTGCTCCTGAGAAGGAGAATTTGAAACCTTGCTTTGCAAGCAGATTTGTGTCCTGCTGTTTGATCTGTGTACAGCAGCACAGCACGTTCTTTGTTCTCTTCCCCGGGACTGGGAAGGCAGCCAGTCACACCACGCAGTTTCACGCGGAAAGTGAAGATCAAAGACGGAGAGCAAAGTAACATCACAGGAGAAGGTATCAAGGTATCCGGATAGGAAGCCTCCAGAAAGACAGAAGGAACAAAAACCTACCACAAAACTTCAGGGACTTGGGGGACAGCCGGCCTGCCAAGAACAGAGCGCCTAATCACACAGCTCTGAGCTTCGCAAGGTTTACTCTCCAAAACGTAACTACGGCCTCCTTACACCGCAGAGAAAGTGGCACCAATCTAGTGCTTCAACCGCCAGCTTCTCATCCCAGCCCAGAATGAAACAGGCAAGACTCTGCGACTGCAGATCTTTGGGAAAACGTTAGTTATATTAAGAGGGTACAGATAAAAACAGACTTGGTTTTATCAGACAGGAAAACGAGCTCAATCAGTGGGAGCTTTTAAGCGTAAACTCTGCACTGCGAAGGTTTTCAAAGGTGAAAAAGCAGTAAGAGAAGCCATTTCATGGAGAAATAATTGAACGGAGGCCTTCACAGCCTCCAACACTTACTTCTGCAGCAGCTGTAGTTCCACAGGTCTGTTCCTGGGCCCCAGCACACTCTTTCACCGTGAGTGGGTCCACAAGCCAGAGCGCAACGGTGGAAGGCCAGTTCCCCCCCAGGTTTGACACAGTATTTAGGAGCGTCATGTAGGTCCCTCCGATCAGCGGATCGCTGACCTTGGCGTTGAAAGCCATGATGGCAACATACATGCTATACAGCGTGATCTGCGGGAGAGGTAAGGAAACCCACAGGGCAGTGAAGGTCTCCCCAGTTCCAGGCAATGACAACTAAAAACCCTAATGTAAAAACAGTTCGAAGGGATTACTTGAAGTTAGAAACGTTGACTGAAAAAAAAATGCCAACGGCTTAAAATTGCAGAAGAGAGGAAATACTTCTGCAGTCTGCCTCTCTACTAACACCAGGAAGTAGCATTGCCACTTGTCTCAAGTCATGCTGAAATGGATTCTGCCTCACATGCACAGGTATGACTTGAGTTATCAAACTGAAGTATAATAAGGCCCACTGAAATGGCATATAAAAAGAACACGTCCGTGTTTAAAATCAACTCTCAAGGCACTGCATATATTTTAGTTCTGATCCAAAGCCCAGTTCGTACCAGGCGTTTGTTTTCCGGGCCTTCGGATCATTACAATGTTCTTCCAAAATCAATCAAGTATTTTTTCTAGGACCGGGATCACATAAATTTATGGATCTGCAAAATATGCACAATCATCATCATGTCTATGAAACTCAGCAGAATGTTGGGATTCCTCCAACTCCATCATGCTTTTGAGCTTCTGGGTTTGGGGAACAAAAAATAATCTGGGAAACAAAAGCAGATCTGGTCAGGTAAAAGGTACTCCCCAGAAGATATCCAGTGGAGCATGTGGAAGAGGGAGAAATAATACTGGCAAGAGTATCGGAAGAAAATACAGCCATAAACGGAATTCTAGTGTAACTGAGGACAAAAGCAGGCAGTGGCATTTATAGTCCTCTTGGCAATCAACATGAGACCCCCCCCCCCGCCACCCTTCCCACATACAATGTACGTTACCTGATGTAAAGCATAACTCAACAATACTACAACATAGTAGTAGACAGGAAATCCTCCTTCATGTTTCACTTGAGGAGTCCACCATACCAAAAAAGCAAATTCCAGACCAAGCAGTAGTCTGGAGGGGTAAGAAAGAGAATTTGTCATTCAAGTAATTTTTCCCATGTGTTTCCTTGATACAAAGCAACTATCGACCGTTTATATATACAGAATACATTAAAACAGTTTGTATCTAAAAAAAGTACAACTATTTCTACCTTAGGTAGAATTAGATATTAAATATTTGACAAGCACTGAAACTGTCAACATTTTATACCTCAACAATTTTGTCTTCCGTATAAACATAGTTCACTGCCAGATCTCCTATACTAGCTTTCTCCCCTGCTCCTTCACACAGAAGTTTATTTTTGTAGAAAGCAATGCATAAGATATCCAACCAAATTTAGCCTGAGCAAGATCTACCCTTGGTTGGTTGGTTGTTTTGTTTTTTTTTTTGTTTTTTTTTTTTTGTTTTTTTTTTTGTTTTTTTTTTTTTTTGTTTGTTTGTTTGGGTTTTTTTTCTTTTTTTGTGAAAACATACATAGTTGTATAAGAACATGTTGAAGTAATGGCTACCCATTACAGACATGTTACATGATTTACTGAGTAACAGCATGAGGTAATTTGATGGATTAATTGGGTTTACAATTCCACAAGCCAACTCCTGTATGAAACACTTAACACAAATAAAATGTCTCCTTGTCTGCATCAGCTTAACTCAGCTTCTTTTACTCAGTGAGCTCAGAGAAGCACGAGTCCAGCAGATGCACCAGCTGACCCATCCGGGTGTTCTGGCACCTCATCTTACACAGTCCCAGATCCAGCCAGAGCGATCCACGAATAAGGAACTACCCACACGGAGTAAGAGCAGGAGAGCACTGCTCTAATGCTGTCGTATGTGCATCTTAAACACACCTCACGCTCTGCTTTCTTATCTATGATACCACGGGAATCATCTTCAAGGCACAAGACACACAGTTCAACTTACTTGGAGAATTCTGACATACCTGCTTGTATCGGGAAGTTAGAACGCTACACAAGAAATCCTCTACTTGATCTGAATACACAAATTACTATCTTTCTATAAGATGAGATTTGTTTGGTTTTACCTGAAAGGCATGGCTTTGTAAAATGTGTTCAGTGGCTGGGGGCCTGCTGTGTATTTGCTGATAATCAGAGGCAGTATTATCTGTAAAGGAACCATTGGAACTGCTAGCAGAGCCAAGTGCTCTTTCGGGACTCCCTCTTCCACCAGTTTGAGTCCTGTTACAGCATCTGCTGCTGAAAATCCAACCTGCAAGACAAGTTCGACAAAATAAACTGGGGAAAGCAGTGATAGTTTGGCTAGGAATTCAGTTTACTCGGTATTAAGTAAGTTGAGAAATGTGATCGAGTCCAAGTCACCTCTGCCTCTGATTTGATTTCCAAGGAAGTCCTGAGCCGTGTCCTACACTTGCATGCTCCTACTGTCAGCAGTGCCAAAACTATACCAAGAACACTGAACGCAGCAATGACATTCGTGCTCGTGCCTTAACTGCTGTTGGTATCCAGTGTGGCCTACAAGAAGCCATGGAAACCTAGTTTGTACAGACTTGCGGATTCTGGAAATAGTATTTAGGTTAAAAGAAACACTTTCTGTCCTTTTAACTGCAGACTACAGAGTCTGTTTACAAATGTTTTAAACCAAATTACTTTAACACTAGATTGCAGTCAAGCTTCTCTTTAATGCTTGGGTGAACTTACAAAAGCTCAAACAAATGTCTTCTGCTGTATAGCCCTTCTTGGCACGATGATATAAGCAATTCTGTTTCAAAAGTCATGTGAAAATTCAGAACTCTAATGACAACCACTAGCAAAACTAAGAAATAAGTTACATCGCAGGGACTCAGCAAGCTTTCAGACTCCGATATCATCAGCATCTAACAACTCATACACACATTTACTTACTTTTGCTGTGAGAATCAAGAGACAGAAAGTAAGCACTGCTGGCATCTTGATTATTGAGAATAGCAGCCTGTATGTATCAGTGATGCCTTTTGTTTCCTCTTTTGTTGGTGTTAGTTCTTTGTTTTCCTTTTTCAAAAGGGCAACTAGTGTAGTGGTAATTAAAAAGACAGCTCCCCAGAAAAACAAGAAATCTGGAGGGTAGGAAAAAAAAAAATAATTAAATCTTTCTAGCAGCCATCATCAACGCTTCATTAACAATTCACTGAGTATCTAAAATGCAATTATTTTGCAAAAATATAAACCTAGTAATAAAAAATGGAATAAAAACATTACTCATTGACCTTCCCTAAAACAGGCAACAAAAGCAAAGCACAAGCACATCGCTATGTACAGTCACTGACATTGCTCTTCCTCGCCCCTCACTCTATAACCACGTTTGCTCGAGATCTGAGACGGAAGAGCGGCAGCAAAGCGGGTCCCTTCCCTGGGGTTCTGGGTATTATTGCCACAATGAGCATGTCAGAGGAGAAACAGAAACAAAAATGAAAGCTTTGAAGGATTACACATACAACCACTAAAAGCTGATAAAGGAGAAAAAAACCCACCTTCCACATTTAGGAGATGGGGGAAAAAACTTCAGAGGAAGAAATCAGTCACAACTCTCCAGCTGATTTACTGTGTAGCCCTGTAACCATTCCGTGCCTCAGCTCTGTATTCCCTACATAATACCTACCCACCATCTGAAGGAATCAAAGATTTATACTTATGAGTGTAAAGATGGCCTAAGGGAGGTTCTTACACTGTTTTAAAGAGTCACTCAAATATGTCTGTTTTCAGCAGATATTCTACTTGCTAACTTTTAAGTGCTGTATTTTAAGCAGATATTTGCTAAATTGTGGATCTGAAGGCAGTGATAGTAAAAAACACACCAATATTTTATGGCAAGTACTTTTTGAGTTAGTGAATTGATTAATCTATAATAATCCTATCCTCTACCTTCATGAAAGAGGCAAGAAAGAACTCAGTAGCATGCAGAGGGTAAGGCCTTTTATCTTCCTGGTCACTAGCAACTCCAGAAGCCTCACGGTGACTTGAAAGCAAGCAGCGAGGGCTGGTGAAAGGGCAAAGACAGTGCAAAGATTTAGTCAATTATTAGCTGCTTCTTATGCACCAGAAGAGAACAAGTACAACAAGCATGGAAGAAAACATGGAAAGACTACTTTAGGTGTATCCTACCATTCTCAGTGTAAAGATAAAAAGGCATTTCAAACCATTTTCTGCTGCTTCCATACCAGCTACTTCTCCCTCTTCTAAAGCAAATAAGATCTTCTAACCAATGCTGTCAGCTTGTTTTCTCCTCTGTTAAAAAAAAAGGCACCCTGATCTATTTTTTAAGTAAAAGGTGAATTTTCAGAGTCATGTTATCACAGCTACTGTCTACAAAAGACATTCAGGAGTGGTACTCTAATAATAGCACTGAGTGTTATCACCGCAGTGAGAGACCTACAGTGCGAGGACGGGAATAGAAATAGCTTTGAGCATCACTGCATGAATACTCTCGAGCAAGTCACCCCTGGCAGCTACAGTACAGCAGTGCAATGGCTGGACTAGCAACAAAACAACACCAACAACAAAAAAGCCATATATAATAATGCAGAGAATTTTTTTGTGTGTGTGGTTGTAGGCAGTTTACACAAAAATACGGTATTTGAAAGGAAGCGTACCTTAAAGTCCACTAACAGGCTAAAAGCAAAGGAACTTTAAAATCATAGTTCACGCAAGGAATTTCTAGCGCAAAGTTTCTGGTGTCACCATTGCTGCCTCCCCCTGTCCCTATTTTGTCTCTCCCCTACACTATCACTAACAAAAGAAACCATTGTGTTGGGGCAAAGCAAACTTTTAAACTAGATCAGGGACTGACCAGGCTGGAAAAATAACCACCAGGAGGTGTGCACAGGGGTACAGGTTTTTCTGCACGATGGCTTTAAGCAATTCTACAGCCACACATCCCCTCCCAGGAGAAAGGGCACTCTGCAGTCCCTGGCCCAGGTACGTTTGGGCTGCCCTGGGGGGCACCTGCTTCCCGCACTCGCGCTTCACCTCTCTTCCTTCATGCTGGAACAGGCATTCGTGTGACTGCATGGCGAACTGGACAGGAATCAACAAACCTAGTAAGCTTCCCCACCCTCCCTCCTTAAAAAAAAAAAAAAAAAAAAAGTGATTTGAACAGCAACATGCTAAACTCATACATGCTAGCACAAACAGTAAGCCCAGTGAAATCTATTCCTCATTTTCCTCTCTAGAACTTTAGCCTGAAACTATATAACACAGCATTTGTTTTGATGAACGGTTTTATTTTTGTTCATGGTATTTCCTGAAGTTAATGTGAACACAAATGCTGTTGCTTCTCATCAACTTGAAGCTGACTTGGGATCACAAAGCTGGCACTCAGCCTACAACAAAAGCATTCTGAGATCTGAACTGGCAAAAAACTATTCACTTTTTCAAACTGTGAAGTTTTCTGCTGCTTTAATTGCCCAAACGGGCTCATCACGAGCCCCGTTACTACCAGTGCTAGGACCAGAGAGCCAGTCTCCTCATTTCAGGGAGCTGGTTTACAGTACTGCTGCTCCACAGCTCCTTCGGGAAAAATGTGGACACAGCAAATTGTGGCACACAGTCACATGAACAAGGGAACAGAAATTTCTTTCAGCCAGTTTTACCAGCCCAAAAAAAACATATCCTGCAACTATAGTGTCAGAGTTATTTGCACTTCTTAATCCTCCCAGGTTAGCACTCCAGGACAAGTTAAACAGGTTGCATTGGTGTGTTTTAGTTTTGGGATAACGTGTGTTTTGTTTTGTTTCTTCCCAAAGCCAGCACTCCTGTAATAGTAACAAATCCATTTATACAAAACAGTACTGCGAAAAGAAAACAACAAAAAACCTGGACAGTGGAGGTAAGTATAGACAAACCAGCTCTTAACTACACTAGTGATATGCAAGTTGCATCAGCAGTAAAAGATGTCAGTGCCACTGCAGCAAGAGGGAAGGGACATGCCAGCAGCGATGAACTAACTACACAGTAAGGGAAAACAAAGGAAAGCAATAAACCAGCAGGGTCACTTTGAGGACTACTCTCTGCTTGTTGACATCTAGACCACACACGGGATTATCAACAGGAAGGAAAGAGGAAGACTAGTTAGCAATTGTGATAGCTGCGCAGACAAAGTAAGTAGAGCAGTCTTGGAAACTGATAGCTGGATTTATCGATAAAAATAGGTACAGGATAGAAAGCAAAAACTAGCCTTTAAACAATTCAAATCAGTTTTGTCATACCTTTTCTCTTACATGATACAGGCAGAGCAATCAGTGTAAGAGAGGGAAAAGAAATGAGAACCATGAGAATTTACTCTTCACTGCTAGCCATGGTCACTTTGCGACTGCGACCACAAGTGGTGCCAGTTTTCCCCATCCTCCCATAAGATGAGCTGGCTAAGCTCAACCTGGCAACCAAAACACGTGCATTTTAAGCATCTTCTAGGCAAGATGCCTAACATCAACCACCACATGTAACCTTTTTGAAAAAACCCCCAACGACCCCAAAACCCACCAAATAGAAGACATCCCTACACTAACAGCTAGTTACGGTTGGATTGCAAGGCTCCATTTAATTCAATAAAGTAAAACCAAAACACCTCTTAATTTACTAAAATATTGCCTTCCTTCAAAAATTGGCTATGTGGCCAACCCTAAGCACTTGTCATTTGTACTTCTGTGAACAATACCATCTTGGAAGAGTCTTTTTTTTTTTTCCCCCCCCTTTCCTTCCTCCCAGAAGGAGACGTTCTTAAAAGGCCTCCTCAAAAACAAGCACAGCTTTTGATTGGTTTGTGTTTTTTTAAACAATAATCTATTCCACAGTCATTAAACTGGGGGGGAGGGAAAAATATTTCTCTCCAAAGTGCTTAAGTCAGCCAAGCTAATGACAAGGCAGGTTTCCCACACTATTAAGGCCAGAGAAGACTGGAAGTTCACGTATCAGAGGAGCCCGCCAGCCTCCGGGCAGGCTGTGCTTTCTCATGGGCCGGGGACAAACCCAACCGCTCAGTTCACAGCGCCAAACCACCGCTTGCTCTGAGCGGAGCTTTGGTCCAGGCTCAGGGAAGAAGCATCCCCCATCCCAGCATCAGCACGCACAGGCCAGCGGTACCCAGGCAGTACCTGAGAGGGTAACAATCCCTTCAGGCTGGGGCTGGAACCGTAGGTACTTGTTGCAGAAGGAGGCCGACTCGAGGGCCAGGAAGAGGACGTTGCCCAGAAAGTAGCCGGCCGTCTGGCCCACGGAGTTGCAGGTGGAGGCGTAGCCCACGTTCTCCCTGGACAACATGGTTAGGGCCCAGCCGTCCACCGCAATGTCCTGTGTCGCTGCCAGGAACTCGAAGAGGAAGAAAGTCACAGTGAGGGCCACCACGTCAGGGCCCCGGCCCTCCCCGTCGCCCAGCAGCACGTCCACCTGGGTGGACATGTAGATCATGAAGATCCCCAGGACATACTGCGTAGGCACCAGCCAGGACTTGCGGCGGCCAAAGCCCCGCAGGTAGACAGCGTCCACCAAGGGGGCCCAGAGCAGCTTGAGGCTGAAGGGCCAGAAGACGAAGCTGAAGAAGGCCTGGTCGGTGTAGCTGGCGCTCTTGCTCTGCAGGATGAGGGGGACGCTGCCCGCCAGCCCCAGCGGGATGCCCTGCAGTACGTACAGCACCAGAAGCAGCAGGATACTGCCCAGCTCCGCTCGGCACCCCCGCGCCCCCCTCACCCCCGGCTCCGGCGGCAGCAGCGCCTCGGCCTCCCCGCCCGGCAGCCCGTCCCCGCAGAGAGCCAGGGCGGGCGGCGCCTCGCTCCTCACGTCCAGACAGTGCTGGTGGCTCCCGGCCCGGCGCTGCCGGCCGCCCTCCTTAGCCGCGATAGCGGGCGACATGTCGGCGACACGGCGCGACCGAGGCGTGAGCGGGCGCCACCGCTGAGGAGACGCCGCGAGCCGGCCCGGCCGCCGCCGCCGCCGCCGCCCCGCCCCTTCCGGGCACGCGGCTGCTGGCGTGGCTGCGCCTCATTGGTGCGCCGCGGAGCGACGTCAGGCCGTCGCCCCGCCCCCTCAAGCCTGAGGGGACGGAGCGGGCGGGCAATGGCGGCGGGAAGGCCGGGTCCCCGGTGGTGGAGCGGCCGCCTCGGGGCGGGGAGAGGGGAGAGGGGAGCCGGGAGCCTCCGGGCTTCCCCCGGGCTTCCCCCGGCCCTGCTGTGGGTCCTCAGCAGCGCGCACCTCCGAGGCTTCCAGCCCTTCCGCGGCGGGTGTGCGCCCGCCGCCGGCCGGCAAACGGGGGTGTTGTGCCAACGGTAAATACTGGGTGAATATGAACAACAACGTTCCATTTCTTCTGCCATTTGGCTCCCCTGTGCTAACACAAATACAAATCGGTAAGAACTAAAGTAAGCGAGTGTTAGTTTTGGGGTTTTTTTCTTCATTCTTTTACCCATTCATACAATTACATGATAATTAGATCGACAGAAAGATCTAATGTGTTTCACTTCTATTTTTAATACTTGAAGTATTCTTCATTTTTTTTTTTTTTTAATTTTTAAAGGACCCACGACAGCCATAACGCAATTAAGGCATTTAGAACAAAAATCGCAAACTTACATAACCCTTAGGACAAAATTGCTTGACATCTGACGGTGGCACCAGGTACTGGTTTGTAATTCCATCTGTAGCTTGAATTCTTACGCTTATTTCCCTCTAAGAATAGTAATAATTTTAAAAGCTCGGAGAAGGGTATTAAAAATATTTTGGGAGCGTTATAGGGAGACTTTCGCTGATGCAGCTGCTTCCCTGAGCGTCTTTTGAGACGTTGCACCCGAGCAGAAGTCGCGCTTTATTCCCTACCGTAGTGGCGCACAGAAAACCCACTTATTCACAACACGCAAATATTTACAGTATACAAATACAATAAACCTCCGTTCCCGCCGTCATTTGCGGCTTCAAAACGGGCAGAAATGAGCCCCTGCCGCCCAAATCCCGCCAGCCGGGTTGTGCCGCCCAGCTCGGGGAACTCAGCCGGCCACCGCCGCTGCCCACCCCACCCAGAACCCCGAAATCCCACTTTCTGACCCCAAACCGCCCGGCCCCGCGCTCCGCCCCTTCCGCCGGAGCGCGGGGCCGGGCCGGGCCGGCTCCTCCTCCCCTCGGCGGAGGCGCAGCCGGGCGGCATTAGCTCATCGCGGCGGCGGCGGCTCCTTCTCCTTCGCGGCCCTTTCTTTCCCCCGCCCCGCTCCCCGCTCCCCGCTTCGGGGCCGCCCGCCGCTTCCCGCCGGTCGGAGGCGGCGCCGCGCCCCGGTCAGCCCCCATGGCCCTCTGCAACGGAGACGCCAAGGTCAGTGCGGCCCGGGACGCTGCCCGCCGGGGCCTGACGAGCGCTTTGTGCCGCCGCTCACCGGGCCGGGCCCGGCCTGGCCGGCGGGCACATGGCGGGGCCCCGGGGAAAGGGGCTGCGGGCGGGCCGGGGAGCGGGGCCGGGCGGCCGTGGGGACGGCGGGAGGCCGGTGCCTCGCAGCCCACCGCAGCGGTGGTGCTGAGGCAACGGATTTATTTCGCGCCGTGCGCGTGTGTTTCGATGGGATTTCTGTTTATTTACTTACTTACTTATTTATTAACTAAAATATCGCCTCACGGCGTGGCTGAGCCTTGCGCGGCCTGCGCTGCCTCCGGCGCCAAACCCAAAGGCGGGGGTGCTCCCCAGCACCTCTCCCAGTACTCAGCCGCGCCGTTTCGGGCCTTCCGACGAGGACGGTCGCTCCTGGAGCTAAATTGAGAGGAAAAGTTGGTTTTCGGAATCTCTTTCCCTGCCCTGGTCACCCCCCCCCCCCCCCGGGGTCGTGCTGCTCCCTCAGCGTCGTCCCGTGTCCGGTTTGCGACGACGGGGGCAAAAAGATGTGGGTCGGCATAGCTGCTGTGTGCTGGGGGTGCCAAAATGACTCCTGGGTCTTCATAAAGCTGAAGTTTTTTCTCAGTAACGCAACTTCTGAACTAAAACCCGACAAGTTGTCTCAAGTTGCTTCTGTAGTAGGATAAACACCTTGTTCTATTTTCATCTAGTTTGCAAGAAAACATGGCTCTGATGGGTTTTTTGAAGTGCTCAGTTGGTCCCTGCTTAAGTTTTATGTCGCGCTTTTCCCTGACCGTTCCAATCCCCTTTCCTGGCTGGGGCTGCTCCCGTGGGCTCTTCTCGGAGGTGGTTGCACCCCGTGCTAGCCGTGGGATGCTCAGCTCCTCTTCCTCGCACCGTGCTCTTGCAGGAAGCGGCTAACAGAGCGGTTTCTGCAGGGGGCCGCGTCTCAGCAGCCATTGGAAATCTACGTGTGACTTATGTAAATTAAAGTTGCTCTGAAATAAGGGGCTGGGGGCTCTTGCATCAGTCTCGGGGATTGCCTGAGTTTGAAGGAGTTACTTCCCTCTTATACTCTGAAAAAACAGGAGTAAGTGTTCTACCTGCTTAATTTTAATACCACAGGGAAACAATTAAACTCTTGTAAAACCTGTGCTGGCTTGAAAGCGCCAGATCAAGGCTCCTGGTTTAGGCTTGTCCTAAGTTATTAGTGTGGGTGAAAGCTCAGGGCTGAGGGCTCGGACAGAGGGGCTGCTGCTGCAGACTGGGCTCTGCTGGGTGATTCTTGGTGCTCCAGAAGATGACTGTTCAGTATGTTAATGTGTTTTATAAATTGCACTAATGAAAATCCCGCGAGCGTGTGGGTGTGTGAAGTGCTGAAAAATTCCCTGATTCTGCAGAAGTGGGCTGTTAGGAACCTGCAAACTTCAAGTGCTACGTAGGTACACTGAGGAATAAGATACGCGGTGTCCTTAGCTGGTAGCGCAAGCCTGATGGCAGGTTTCCTACCACAGCTCATTATAGAACTCATAATTGCATTTTTTTTCTTTTGATTCAAAAAAGCCCAGCAGCCATGGGAGGGTTTTTTTCTTCCATTGTTACCAAGTGGTAGAGGTGAAATGGTGGATTGAGGCCGACCCTTGCCGTGGTGATATGGTTGAGGTGGCACTTGGGACCTTGGTTCCAGGTCTCGGGTCCGTGAAAGAGCAGGCAAACAGCAGTCTGGAGATACAGCGTTTTGATAGCATAATCACTTTGTTTTGTCAGTCATAGAGAACAGTAGGAATCCTTCATGTATGATGTGGTTTTCAGGGTGACTTGGGATTTAAATTTGCTGAATACAGACTTTCCCCCCGCCCCATCTTTCTCTTGGCGTACACACGTTCCAGTCTGGTTTTAGTCCCGCTCTCAGGACAAGAGAACGGTGCCTCTGTCTGCTCTGCCCCAGTGCCTGAACCGCCTTGGACAGCTGTCAAACCAGCTTCGACAGAAGTTCTCAAAAATAGCAAGGTTTCTAGATTTTTGTGAAAGCAGACCAGAGGAAGACAAGGAACTCTAGTTATACCCCTACTGAGGGGAAAAAGAGCTTTTATTAGAAACTGGAGAATCCCTGCTAGGAAGAGGTGCTGGCTCCATAAACCCCGTCCTTGCAGCGTCTGGGCTGTCTGGGATCCTCTTCATCTTTCTCCTGGCGTGCGTATGGTATACAACCACATGAGCTAAACTGCCATGTTGGCTGCACGTTAGCAACATCTGTTCCTTTTTTTGATTTTATTAAATGAAGTTTCCCATGTTAAATTTGAGTTCAAAATCTTTACCCTTGGAACTGTGCCTTCAAATAAATAAAGTCAGATCTTGGACTGACTGACTGCCTTTCTCCTTCCTCCTTTTCCATGTGATTTACGGTAGCTTTTCTCCTGGGCTCTCTTCAGAGCTGAACCTCCTAACAGTTCTAATTTAGCTCAAAAGTGAAGTACAAAACCTCCTCTGACAGTCCGTGTGGTGACAGTCGCCTGCGTTAACCCCTGGGACGGGGCTTGCTTGGAGGTACGCTGGGGATGCGCGGCAAGGTTGCCTACAGGAGAGGAGGACAGTGGGCACCTGTGTAGTACTGGGAGAAAATTATTTCAGCCCGTAGTTTACTCTAAGCCCATGTCTAAGCAAGGAGGAAGTTATTAGGCCACCAATGGAATGATTTTTTTTTTTTTTTTTTTGTTTGCTGAGGTGCATGTTGCCTTGCTCATTTTACATGTTCCCAGTAAGATCTGCACTGCTCGATGGATGCGGTGCTTTCACTGGATTTTAGCCCAAAAGCCCTTAGCATCATCTGAGGAAAAACCTTCTGAACTATGGTTAGACACTGGCTTTTGAGATTTTGGGGAGGGTATTAACAGACTGCCAGCAAAACTTGGGCAACGAGCTGTTACTTGAAGCCTTAAACAGCCGTCTTTCAGGGCCGTGTAAATGGTTAAGATGTAATTCTAATGCTGAGGCAGCTGTGTGTGAAAGTGTTCCTCCGCTCCTTGGGCGAGACAGTGCTACGCTCCCCACGAGTGGGGAAGCAGGGACGGCTCTGTGAGGGGGTTTGCCAGAGCTCGGGCTGCATCCTCCCATCTGGGTGACCGCAGCCTTGTCCGGCTCGTTCCTGTGACGAAGGGGCATGTATCGCTGTCCTGCTTTCGCTGAGGAGAACGGAGGAAGGTGCAGGTTCATCTAAGATACAGACTTATGCCGCCTTATGTGACGTATCTCCGACTACTCCCAACGTAACTTTGAGCTCTTTTTGTTTCTACATGCATCTCCCCCAGAGCTGTTGCTTGGGCCCAGCTCACTATACCTGGCTGCTCAGAGCAGCTCGGTGCCTTCAGGGCAGGATGCTGAAAACGGGATTTATTTGCTAGCTAGAGATGTAAATGCTCAGCCATCAGTCCAGCTGAGCTGATGCCAACAATAACTTGGATTTAGTTTTTTCTTTTTTTTAATTGTAAAAGGTAAAAGCTGCCTTCACAGAGTTGTACTACTTTCTTCTGACTCATTCTGCAGGTTCTTAAGGGTGATCTGCAGGTTGGGAAACTGCTGGCAGGCGGGACCCATCCATGCAAGGGCTGGCTGTGTACCCGG